TTTCTCCAACAAATCAAAGTAGATGATATCATTGGAAATTGAATTACTTATATTAGCCATGAGTTTTATCTTTGATATATCAAGATACGAAATAAAACATAATGATTTGATATTAAAGAACTTGATGCATATAATTCTATGTCTAACTCAGTGAAAAAAGTCAATCATATAACGGCAATAATATAGTTATAATATTATGTAAGATTGTAAACTTACGAACCTACATCACATTACAATCCTATATAACATTAAATAAATATAACGTAACATTTAATGAGTAGATTTATAAAATATTATATATAGACTCATGAATAAAAAAAAATTGATTATATAAGAACACATACGGTATAAATTTACAATATCGTGTGACATTTTAAGTATATCATTTTCTTCTTTTTTTTTTTATTTTTTTTATCTAGATTGTATAATAAGAGATAATTCTCTCTCTCATCCCTTAACCCAACTCGCATGTTAAGGTTGTTCATACTTGGTAGCGTTCTTAAGATCACTAAACTTTTGTGCAGCGGCTGCCAAAGTAGCAATACTTTTGCAGAAAGCAAACCTTACATATCTCTTCTGGTAGTTGCAACTTGCCTCAGATGATGGCTCCATAGAAAGCTTTGTATGAAAAAATCCACATCCTGGTACAGCAACCACCCCTGCCTCTTTTATTAATTCCTTAACATATTCTACCTGGAAAGAACAGAATCACCATTTATACCGCATAAACAAACTATTAGCAGAATTCTGGCATTATAAAAGTCAAATTAATATATGATCAATTCTTAGAATGAATGGAGCTCCAAAGTTTAAAATGAAGAAAAAAAGTACATCTACCTACATCAGAAAGCAAGCAATTCTTAGGAAGCTCTGCAAATAAAAATATGGAACCTTGGGGCTTAAAATGAATTTGAAAACCAACCAAGGTGAGCACCTTCACAATGAAATCCCTTTTAAATTCATATTCCTGCTCATCAATAGAAAATAAATATGCAAAAAGGTGACAGTGAGAGCATTAGCATGATCTTGCATTTTGGTTTGTGTTATAACAGTAAGTAAGCTATGGTCATCCACTCCACAGTGACAAGTAAAAGACTAAAACACGGCTCTGTCCAAGGAACCTACTTTTTTCAGTCCTTCAAAATATTCAGGGGGGCTTGTCAAAGCAGTTAACGCAGCATCTTGGAAAGGTGCTGGAGCAGAATCTGTAATTTTGACATGAATGTTTCGGATTGCAGATGCAGCAAAAGCTGGAGCAATGGCCCATCCAATTCTCCAACCTAATACTCATAACAGTGAGTATCACTCTGTTTCTATATCAAAACTAGACGTAATAATTAAGAACCAGTTATTGAGGGAGACTGGAAATTATGCCACAATACAGTGGACAGAGGAAAATGAGTGTGGGACATCTACCTGAAAAACGTATTAAGAAAAAAAATGAGACATCACCACAAACAAATTCAGACCTAAATTCTGTAGATATGATGTTTTTTATTTGACCTGTAACACTAAAAGTTTTAGACAAGGAGGATGTGATGATGGTTCTCTTTTGCATTCCTGGGAGTGAGGCAAGAGATATATGTTTCTTGTCGTCAAATGTTATGTGCTCATATACCTGGAGAAACAAGTATGAAGACAAAGCAATCCTCAGACATCAATGAAATAGGTCAACATTTTCTTTCTTTTAGACAGAACTACCACGACAGGTTACAGATGATAATTGCACTTTGCTTAAGGAAAAACTAATAAAAATTACATGACAATTAACCACTGAGAATGCTTATTTCAGTTAGGGAATTTGACAAATAGCTGCATGATGTCAAGTGTATTATAAGATGAACTTCTGATATTTACAATTCTATCCATATATATCTATAAGCAATGGTTTTAATTTGCTCTCTTTATGTGTACTGTCCTTCTAGGTACTTCATCAGCACTCTGCTCAGTTCAAGCCTTGTAAAAAATGACAATATGAAGTGTTGCCTAATTTCCAGTAATCAACAAGAATGCAACCTACTTGGCCAAAGAAAAAGAAAAACAAAACAAAAGCAGAATGACACCTATGCATAACCTCGTGTTTTAAATTCAAATACTACCTTCAGGGAAAAAATAAATAAACAACTTAAAAAAACTTATAGTTTTACCCAGCTTATATAGTCTACATTGGGACAAAGCTCTCCACACGTTAGAACTGTTCAGTGAGACATTATAGAAGCATGTGTCATGCATGTTCTAAACAAGTGACATATTCAACCATATACATGTTTCACTTTTCACAAATATTAACAAAAATATTCTCATACTTCGTCTGTTATAGCAAGGCAATCCCATCTGCAGCAGGCTTCAGCAATAACTTCAAGCTCTTCCTTGAAGAAAACTTTGCCAGTTGGGTTGTGAGGGCTGTGCAAATCCAGTATCAGTATGTTAAATAACAGTATAAGAAGCACCTTATCTTAGTCTTATTAAACAGTTTCACACACACTGCTAATGCCATACAGATAATTATATTATTGGATTTTGAAACCAAAGTACATCTTTTTGTTTTCTAACTCAATCTTCCTAACCTGTTCAAAACAATAGCTTTTGTTCTGCCAGTAAAAGACTTCAATAACTTGCCAGGGCACAAGGTCCACTGAGGTGGATCAAGGGCAACATATACCTGCAATAAGCAATCCTTAGTTTTTACAATCAAAAGTACTAAATCTCTAGGCTTTATGGGAAAGACAAGAACTTACTGGGACTCCTCCTGCCATGGTAATACACCCTTCATAAGTTTCATATGAAGGATCAAATAGCACAACTTCATCTCCAGGGTCAATTACTATCATATGAATCGCCATTTATACATAAGAATACGCAAATTGAAGCAACAAATTGCATATTAGGAAGAAAACACATCAGCAAAAATCGCTGCTGCAAATGCCTCAGTTTGTCCACAGCAAATGGCTATATCCGTTAGAGGATTAACATCCAAATCATGCATTTTCTTCATTGCTGCGGCCAAGTGGTCACAAATTCCTTGCACATGCCTTTCATCACAGCAATTAGGAATTCAGGGCAATTAATCTCTCCCAATATATATATATATAGAATAATAAGTAGATTTTTTTCTACATTTGTGGAAATTAACAATTATTATCATGAACATGCATATCAGCAATTAATGCAACTTCTAAAAAATTTGTATAAACAACAGATAAATGATGTGAGGCAAACCTGTACTGGTTGAAGTCGGAATTAATGGCGGATACAGCAGCGTCTTTGATTTGGAGAGGAGCGGGGAAGTCCGGGAAGCCCTCGGCGAGGTTGATGGCGTTACATCTCTGAGCGAGATGAGAGAGTTCTTGT